ATGTCTTCCTTACACATTTAAGTAGATGAAGTTGAGTAAATGAGAGCAATAACTGAAGGAGGTAGTAGCGGTTGACGATATTGTAAATGATACTGTGTAAATATTTATAAAAAAGGTATATCTACTATTATTTGTCAATTTAATGCATAGAATCTAACGACCAATGCCAAAGGTTGGGGTGGCGTGTAATGATATCACCACCATTCCTTATTTCCTTATTTCCATGTAAAAGAGGACATTTGTAAAAGCGTTGGGCCATGCAGTATAGTTGGATATCAATTAAATTTCCAAAAGTGTTTAAATGAGTTAGTCATTACATATGGGTGGTAACCTTAAAATATGTTTAATTAATTTTAAATACAATAATTTTTAAATCAATGAATAATTTTTAAGATAACTTAAAGAAAACATAACAAATTCTAATCCTTATATATCTATTTTTTTGTTATCTATTTATAATTTTTTTATAGTTAATATATTAAACTTTTTCTAAACAAAAGTAATATAGAGTAATAATACCAACTCAATTTTATATATATACTAATAATAACAAATATTTTATGTCAAGTATTAATATAATATAAATCTACATATTTGTACTATTACATAGTTCACAAAATCAACTATCATGGATAGGGCCCATGGGCACCGCATGGTTATACAAATCTTCACAAACTTAGATAACCCTTCATTCTTGCAACTTTCATCAAAACACTTATAGAAAATGTTGTTCATTAACCAATCTCCACTGCTATGTTAATATACAACTTGACAAAAAAAACATATTTTTACTAATAAGCCCAATACCCTAAAAAGAAGTACACACATATAACTTTGAACTTCCAACAACATCAGGTTCTACATTCACCGGTTCAAAATGGTCACAAGAATTCGTCTCCCAAGAGGAAGCCTAATGGTGAAACTAAGAATGTCTCCTTATTTAAGTCCTTTTTTCTTTGTATAGTTATTCCAACCTTGCCATATATACTTCTCAACACAGTTGACCCTCCTTGCGGTGTGAAGCTCACAGTCATAATTATCACCATCATCACAATCCACCAACTGGATCCTACTTACCGGAATCAACGAGTAGGTCTTGATCACATGATGAGGAATTTGCTGCATATTAATATAACCTTCCATAAATATTACTGGTTCTATATTTATAAACATCCAACATTATAAATGACAAATTTAATGTACGGGTGTTTGGAAACACCCATGTCACTTACCAAAACATTTTTCTCAATAACATCTTGATCTTCTAATTTCTTCTTACATACATAGTAGGTTGGAAGGTCCTCATCTATTGAGGGGTCTTCGAAACTTTCTTCATCATAAGTGAAAACAAATATGATACCTTAAATGTCATCTACCATTTCTTCAGACCATCATAACTAACTGTTTTAATTAAGATCATATAGCTGAAGAAATAAAAACCTTTATCCAACTTAAACTATACTAAGTTACTACAAAACCAGGTTTAAGCTAATAGCCTCACAATCTCAGATGAAATTGAAATATAACATCCTGAGTTTTTATACCTTAATAACTAATGACCAACGATTTAGTAAATCGAATAAATATTTTACATGCCAATAATGGTCATTTTCAAATTGATTAGTTAACGAAAAAGTAATATCTAATTTGAGTATCAATATTGTACCACTTTTGTCTTAAAATGATAGATGATAGATACTAAAAATATCCATTCATCAAGGTGAAGTTCACAGTCATACCTTTCTCCACCATCATAATCAACAACCTGAATACGCCTTAGACCGGATTGCAAACACTCCATTATAATTTTCTGTGGGATTTGCTATACATCAACAAAAAGTTATATCAATATATAACAAATTAAAATCATGTATTGAATGATACATATATGAATGCTAAGTTTTGAACTTACATAAACATTTCTTCAGGCTGGGTTTAAGATTTGTTATTCCTCTTCCAAACAAATAACTATGGGCGGCTTTCAACATTAACCACAACGGAATTTCATGTTTTGTTTTTTCATACATCTTTGTATACATTATAAACACTAAAATACCTACTAATAATACTTGTAACAACTAAATATATATTTACTAGATATTATAAGATGATGATATACCTTTCACTGTCCTGTTGGTCTTCACTTGTAGCAACCCCTTTCCCCTTATGATCTTTCACTTGCATGGTACTTTCAATGGATTTGCAAAAATTATAACATTTAGTTAAATAAAGTCAATAACTGTGGAAAGGAGATAATATGATAGAAGATGAAACCTTTCAACCAGAGTAACTGGGCTGTTGCTTGACATTTTAGGGTTTACGAAGGAACAAGTTCAGAAGCAGTATCGGTAAAGACGTTTGAGATAATGACTTATGTGTGATGCCTTTAAGTCTTCAACCCTTAATAATTCCACATGCTTTGCATCTCATATTCTTGGATCACATCTACACCTTTGGACCCTATGAATATGATAATAGTTGGGCCATTTGAATGTACAAATCAATCGGCTATTTGTGTGTTCCTTTAATTATAATTTTATTGATCTCTTGATAATATTTTAACAGTAATTTTAATTCTAAAAAGTTTCCAATACTTTCGTACAAATTTTTTAAAATTTTCAACATTTCATTTTAATGTATTCTTTTTTAATTATCTGAAAATTATTATTGATTTCAATATCTAAATTTAAATCATGCACTGTATTTTAATTTATTTGTTTGTGAATAATTGATTTAGAAAATATTCAAATAATGAAGTGATAAAACACTTTGGTGAGCCAATAAACTAAAAATAAGCCTACATTAATCTCAAAAACATTCATTAGTACACTGATGTTATATAGTAATATACTTTATAATATTATAATAGGATTTGTGTTCAACATACAAATATATAATAAAACCAAAAAATAGAAGTTCAAGATTATAAATTAAAAGCATCAAGTTTACAATATATAGATTTTTAAATTACTACTACATTTAAATTACCGCGAAACCAAAATAACATAATCTTATGTCCAAATATTCTAAATTTTAAATTACTACTACATAGAAATTTTTTCAGAAGTGATTCCAAAATAGCATCCATTAGGGATATTAAAGGGTATTCCCAAATCAAAACATTGAGACCAAAATAACCCCATATTAGAATTTCAGCATACTATGGAACAAACAAAGGAAACGGCCCCATCAACTTCTTTCCACCTTTACATACACGTATGAAGAAAAACACAACATACTTCAAACCAAGGTATCACCATCACAAAGTTTTTTAATCTGAGAAAATTAGTACAATCCCAAGGCCATGTACTTTTCTTACATGCTTGGGACATTATTCCTTTCTGCTGTATAAACTTGACATTTGAAAAAAAAATTGGTATCCACATCCACCAATTTTATTTCCTTTTGCTTGAATCAAAGACATCTTTTAGCTATTGTCTTGGGAAAATGATGTACATATATATTTTTTGGCCATTAACATATTCAATATCAAATACACATGTATATTTACCATGACATTGTTTGCACTGCTTTTGGTGTTACTTATGTGACTCTTCCAAGTAAATTTTTGAGTCCCTCTAGACAAGTCCACCGTAATTTCCATTGTCACCCTTGCTCTCCTGAGAGATTTATGTTTTCCTTCCTTAGTCACAAATTTCTTCTTTGATCTATTTGAGACCCTTGCTACCCCAACAATTTTACGAATTCATTTCTTAGCTACCGCTTCCTCGACATATTTCTTCTTTGATCCATTTGAGTCACTTGCTTTCCCAACAACTTTATGTTTTTCTCCCTTTGTGACTTCATTGTTGATAAATCAAAATGTATGTATCAAAATATAATGTCATGTATATAATAATGGATTCTAAAAACGAAAATGGATATGAACACCAATTACTAATGTTTAAAATTTAAACCCTAAATCCGTAAATTATATAGCCATGGATTGGTAATATAAATATGAATTCAGATCAACAACTAAAGTTGACCAAAACCATTTTCAGTTACTTAACAAATGTTACCAGTAAGACAATATTACAACAACATGAAGTGTTTACCATTTTTTCACACATAGCTTTACCCAATATCATCCCAAATAAACCATGCCCTTGAAAATATTTCCATTTCATTTAACGTAATTGAAAGATTTAGTACATGTAAAAATATGTTCTTATATTAATAAACCCGAATGACTTGAAAAATTAACCCTAACCCATTTTATTTGGGGATTCGTCAGAAAATGCATCTCAGTTACCCGAGTTGATTACAGTATATGATAGAAATTGATTAGAAGAAAGGTTCATACCTCATGTCTCTCTCATCATCAGAAGCAATCCATCCATGGAAATGTTTTTGTGAGGATGCCATTGTTCCTAATTGTGACTGCCTTTTTTGGGAAGGAGATAACCACAAACAATAAACCCTTATTTTTCACAACGAAGGTTTTTGTAAGTAGTAATTTGAAAAGCAAATAAATGTTTAGTCCTTCACATGACACATGTGGTTTAAACCTTTAGGATACAAAATGACTCTTGGTTTATTTTCAGTTGTTTATTTCATTTACTATCATAAAATAATATTTTATTTGGCAACTGAATGGTTTCACATGCACACACACGTTTCACCAATTACTGTAGTTGCTATCTACCGTTTCTGATGTTTTTTAATAATTTATTACCAATTTAAATAATATTTATTAAATGCTTATATAATATTGTCAATGTCATATTAAGTAGTTGCTTTATAAGATTTTCGCAATATTTGGAAGTAATGTATACTGTGTACCATTATTTTAAGTGTAACCACAAATAGTTATTACATCCAGCTACCTCCCTATATAAAGAATATACTTCTCAATTGGAACATACTTTCTCTATCTTATTCAATAAAATTAGAAGCATATCAAAGTTGACCATCTTCAGAGGTATCAATGGAAAAATAGATGGGATGAAGATGCAAGTCGTCCAAGAACAACCTTCGAACCTTTTGAAGAAGAAGTTATGTTTCCAGAAGTCCACCTTAAAGCTCCTATAATGTCATCTCCTAAGTCTTCCGGAAAGATGACCACGGATGACATAGTTGGTAAAGGATCTGGGTAAGGCTGTCGCAATCCCTCACGTTTTGTTCATTTTATATTTTTCCAGCATGTTCTTAAAGGAAACAGTAAAAGGAAGTGCCGATTAATAACTTTATGTGTTACATTTGAATAAAAAACAGTTGCGTATTGGCTAACTATTTCATATCAAATATCCATTTAACACGTTTCTACACCATTAAAATATGATAGTTTGCAAATTATTTTATCCCTTCTGCATGTTAGATCATGATACTGATTGCATGTTAATTTTTTTTGCAGATCTACCACTTGGGTTAGGAAAAAGACGAGGAAGTGGAAAATGTTGTCTCTGCTATAGACAAAGGAAAGCAGGTCACTGAGGATGCTGAATCTTGTGGAAATGGTACATATATGGACAAGGAATAATGTGGGTCGCCTGTCGGTTCTTATATATCAATATCCTCAGATAGTACAAGGTAAAACATTAATGTCTATGTTATAATATCTTGGCAAAATACTCATTTTGGTCCCTTAACAATACCCTTAGGTTCAAATTGGTCCCTTAACTTTCAAAATGTTTCATTTTAGTCCTTTTTGTCAAATTAGCGACGAATTTCAAAGTTTTTCCGTCGGTAATTAGACAAAAGGACTAAAATGAAACATGTTTTAAAAGTTAAGGGACCAAAGTGACACGAAAAAAAAATTAAGGGACTAATCTGAACCCATGGGTATAATTAAGGGACCAAAATTGATATTTATCCTAATATATTTGTCAAAAGTAGATTGTAAAAATATGTTCATGGCTGTTTTATTATAACGTCTGTTAACTAAAGTTGACTACTTTGCATGTAATATGAATATAGTGAAGAAGAAAGTGATGATTCCATTGAGTTTGAAAGTGAAGAGATCAGCTGGGAGTGGACGGTGAAGTTGGGGAAGGCCAAGGCTATGAGGACTAATGTCCTTGTAAGTTGCATGTTCTTATAATGATATGGATTAGTTTGTGTAATTTGATGGTAACTGATTTCATTTGTTAATATGTGCAGTAAATTCTAAGAGATGTTATAAGGACGTGTTTGTTATCCCCTAGGATACCATTGAACTTTTTGACAGACATGAGAGAATCCTACTATTGTGAGTTGGGTGAACGGGAGGGTCGTGTGGAAAAGTACCTTTGTAGTGGTGGGTACAAATTTGCAAATGACTGTGATCTGAGTGAAGGAGACATGCTGAATTTCTGCATCCGGTACCCTCCAGCCACAAGGATCTTGGTGTGTGTGGAGAAACTCTAATTCTATATCAATAAAGTCAACCGTTTCTGTCTTGCACGTGGTTGGTTTGGGTCAGACTTCGTGGTTGGTAATTTCCGTTGTTGTTATTGGTAAGTTTAATCAGTTTGAATTATATTATGTGTTGTTATTTTTAGTGTTGCTATTTTGATTGTTGTTGTTGTATGAAAATAATGTTGTGTAATGGCTTAATTTTGTATTTTGAACATTGGAGTTGCTGCTCCTTATGGATCTATTAATATCAGCTTATGCGATTATTACGTATTTTTTAACCTAGTTTGAAATGTTTATTTTGCATGGGATGGATGCTGGGAATTTTCTTTTTTTGTCAACGTACTTTTATGTGGAAAGGGTTAACGCATGTAACCTTGAAATTTTTCAAAAACTACAAATTTTACAGAACAAATATATGTACAAATTTGGGAAAACCAAATTAATGGAATTTGCTGGTCCTACTTCCCTGTTGCATCCACTATCACTTATTTAATAAAAAAAATCATTTTGCCATATCAATATCACTATAAGTAGTTGAAGTACATAACTATTCTAAATAAAATAGGCTTTTCTGACATAACGATATAAAATTGTACCCATCACACATGACTCTTATATCTTGTTACTTCATTTATCTTCATTTCTCTCTCAAATGTAGACAACCTTTTTGGTCCATTTTTATTCATACTGTTTAATACACTCAGAGGTGGATATGGGTGTTGTTGTACCCCAAAATTTGCCCTCCTATTTCCATAGAAAACACAACCCTAGGGTTTATTCAAATATTCAAGATTGGCTCAGGAATCGATCAGACAGATTTTCTCCTGTGGCAGTAAATCAAGAATTAGGGTTTTCCTCGCATTTCTCAGAAGAAACTGAATTCTCAGAAAGTCAATTGGCTGTCACATATTTTCATGCTCTCTCAAATTTACTGAAAAGGCAGTGTTTGTTTGATCCAGGTTAACCAGTTAATTTGCGTCTTTTAAAACATTCATTTGTTTATGGAATACATAGTGCATGTTTTAATTGGAATACAATTGAAAGATTACAGAGTTATTGGATTACTTGGAGTTTAAGTTATCTGGATTTGAATTATTGGAATGCAGTTTCAGTTATTTTAATCAGGAATCTTAAAGAATCAGTGAAGACATAAAGAGAGAATTACAAGTTACTAACATTAATGGATTTTATTGGATATCAGATTATCTCATAAAGACTTTCTTCATTTATTTCTGATGTTGTTACAAAAAAACAATTTATTATTCAAATGCTTTAGGTTTTACAACTTATCGTACTTGAAAAATAAATTAATACAACTGATTGAAAATCTCTCTAAGTTACAAAGAAAAATCTAAGCCTAAGCTTCCATTGCTCCCATGCTCGCCACAAAGTCTCCTGCTTCCTCTGCTTTGCCACCTTCCAATTTGCGCTCACATGAAAGAAAGATAAAAAAAGATTAGCACAATTGATTGAGCATAAACAAGAATTTTCAAAAAAAAAGAAAGAAAAATGTTCATCATTAAAGTTTGGCGTTTGGAATCAGAGGGCTATTTTCATTTCATCACGTTTTTATTTTTCTCTTTGCAAATCACAAGAAGATTTCTCTTATTGGTTCACAAAGAGAAAAATAAAAAATTCAAGCTAAAGAATGCAAAGCAAATGGTCCAAATGAAAACATATTCCAAACTGCAACATGCTGTCCAAACAGCACAAACAAGGCGCCAAACTGAACTAAACAAAGCCAAATACAAAAATGGATGCAAGCATTACAAGAAAGTAACTAAACAATGCAGCATAGCAGTAAGGAAGTAGCATACAAATAGCAGAGTAAAGTACAAATGCAGACAATAGCACAACGGGCAAAGAAGAATGCAGTATGGTAAACCAAACAACAAGCAAAGGGCTTGTTGCATATAGCCTTTTTCATCATTTTCCTAAGAGTGGGCAAACTTTTCAGAAAAAGTGAAAAAAGCAGTTTTGCTTTTACCATTGAGAGAGGAGAGAGAGGAGAGATATCACCTAAATTATGGGAAAGGTACAGATTGGTCATCCTGCCCACAGGCTGTAAAAAACAAAAAGCAACTAGGATATAACAGTAGAGAAACTGTAAGAAAGAAAGAAGACAGTTTGTCAAACAGAAAAAACAAAAAAACTGCATTGCAAAAACAAAGCTCTCAAGCCTGCCAAACCAGTTTTCAAATAACTTGTTCCTCAGTTTCCAAATCCTGTAGCTCAGCTCAAACAACCCAAACTTGTTAACAAAAATCAGAAAACCAAAACTTGTTAATAGCTCAAAAACTGCACAACCAGTTCAAAAGCATTCAAACTGCAACAATAACAAAAACCTGCAGAACCATTTTCAAACAGGGCCAAACCACAAAAACTCCCAACCTGTTAACTAATCAAACCTGCAAAAGCCAACAAGCTAGCCAAAACTCTCAAGCCTACCCACAGCTGTAACAACAACAAAACTGCAGAAAATACACAAAACCTGCATAGCATGTTCCAGGAACGCCAAACAAACATTTAGTCAAACCAATTATCAAGCTTCCAAAACATACAATTCCAAACTCAATTCAAACAACCTTCAGCAATACCAACAATCATCAAACAGTCTAAACAAAACTGTCAAAAATCAGTGTTCTAACCAACAATATCCAACAAAGTCAAAAGTGAAACACCATCATCATTCAAGTTCAAGGAAAAGAAGAAAGTTACCAGAAAGAGCTCACGTCATCATTTCTTCCCCGTTTCCGGCTGCCAAGTAACGCCATCAGTTCAACCTCACATTCTTCTCCATTCTTCCAGAAAAGTTCCGAAGGTACATTTCTTTTCAAATCACTTTCTGCATCTCAAAACATAATACAATAGATTAACAAGCAAAACGTGAACAAGATTAACAATAACAAAAAAACGTTCAAACTTCAAAACCTAAAATCGTACCTTTCAAAGAAGTGAAAAGCATTAGCGCTTAGAATGTGAAAAGGATATGTGAGAGGGATAGTGCTCCGGTGACCGGGATGGGAGAGGGAAGATCAGTGTAAGCGAGCATTTTAAGTTCAAATCATAACCTAGGTCTTTCCAGAGAAAAGATTTTCATTCATGAATCAACGAGAGATAGGGACATTCAGTGAGGAAGATGAACGAGAGAACGAGTGAGAAAGAACGAGATAGACAACAGCGCTGCTGTGAGGAATGGGTTCACAAACCCTAATTTCCTTCGTTTACCCTAATCAAACTCTTTGCAAAATTTAAGAAATTGGGCCTATCCGGTCCACAAACATCAAGCCCAGCGCGTCTCCCTTCCCCCTCTGCCTTGTTTTTTCTTTCAGCAAAACAATGACCCCTTTTGGGCCTAGCAGCCTCCAAATTCCTAAGCCCATTTTCATCTAATTTGTTTTCTTTTCTTTTTGTCAACAAATACTAATGTTTTTTTTTTAAAATTCATTCTATTAAATTGGCTTAGTTTTTTTTAAGGTAATTAATTTTCTTTTACCATTTTCTCTTTTAATAAAAACTTATTTTTATTAATTTTCTTACATTTAATAAAAACACCAAAAAAATCAAGATTTTGTTTAATTAATTTTCTCTCTTTAAACTTTTCCTTTTAAAATTAATAAAAATACAAGAAAGGATAATAATAATTTTTAATCTTTTTTAGAATAGATTTTATTGATCTCTTTTCAAGTAAATATATGCATTTCATACTTTATTGATTTTTCGTAATTTGTCTTAGCTTTATATTGAATCGCACAACAATTCGATTTGGTTGTAATATTTGGACATTGCTATTCTTATGAGATTCATCCCCATTTGTAATAATTGTACCCCCATTCCCGAATACTTTTGTAATAGCTTAGACTTTTAATTCCCGCAATTTATTGCTTTCTATATACTGTGTAGTAATTAGGCATGTATGGCAAGATTCAAAAATCAATCGCTAGATGACCTAATCCAAGAATAAATAACTTGAAATCAACACACTTCTCACACGTGCACCTCTAGGGTAACCTCGCTTGTTGCCTCGGAAATACAATCATGTCCCTCGAATATGCGACACTCTAGAAAATGACCCTTCGATAAAAAAAGATCGTAGTCCCTCGATGACCCTCGATGTTGCCTTCGATAAAATGATCTCGTCCCTTACAAAATTGCTAGAGCGTATCACAAGTTGCTTTCAATGATTGTAAATTTGACCCGCGCCTGTCCCGTTTAACATCCAAACACAAGGTTGTTTACCAAATACAATGGTAAAACAACAATGTCAAAGGGTTAAAAATGTGTAGGAAAGATCTTTGAGTTAGGGTAGACAACTCCTAGTTACTTGATCAACTTGCAAAACATCCTTGCTAATTTCAAACACTCAAACATTTCAAAACAATTTCCCAAAACAAACTTTCAAACATTGAAACATCTTTTCAAAAGACAAACACCTTTGTAAAACATTCAAACAAAAATTGTTACAAAGGTTGCCTAAACATAGGCCTCTTTTAAAAATATTTTCAAAAACCACACACAAAGCACCATTTCAAACATTTGAAAAGCAAAAGCAAGTGATCTAAACAAGTAACTAAGAGCCCATGGAAAAACCATGGATGAAAAGGGTGCTAGCACCTTCCCTTTTCATAATCTATCCCTCGAACCCAAGAAAACATCTCAAAGGTCTTTCCTGTGCTTTTTGACCTTTCCTTTGGATAAAATAAAAAGTCGGTGGCGACTCTTGCTAAACCGCACAAGTGTGAACACAAACGCAAAACCTCAAGTCA